CTCTGGCAGCTTCTGTCTACAGGCTGAGCTGGGGAAAGGGCAGGCCCTTGGTCTCGGAAGGTGGTGGTGATGTGCAATGAACTAGCGTGAAGCTTTCAAGGCTGAGTTCTGTTTAAGGATCTATGACCTGAGAGTTTATCTTGAGCTGAGTCCACCTTCCTTTTTAATCTCTCTTGTTTTTCAAGAAGGATGTCTTTTTTATTCTTCAGTTTTTTAAAATTGTGGTAAAAAAAAAAAATATATATATATATATAACATAAAATTTACCATTTTAACCATTTTTCATGTACAAGTCAGTGGCGTCAAGTACATTCACAGTGTTGTGCAACCATCACCACTGTCCATCTCCAGAACTTTGTCAACATTCCAAATAGAAACTTTGTCCCCATTTATCAGTAACTCCCATGTCCCCTTCCCCCTGGCCCCTGGCAACCGCCATTCCACATTCTGTCTCTGAATCTGCCTGTTCTGGGGACCGCATATAAACATTTGTCTGCTACGGGCTGAGCTGTGCGCCACCCAAGTTCATATGTTGGAATCCTGACTCCCAGTGCCTCGAATGTGACTGTGTTTGGAGATAGGGTCCTCACAGAGGTAATTAAGGTAAAAGGAGGTCATATTGGTGGGCCCTAATCTGATATGACTGGTGTCCACATGAGAAGAGGAGGTTAGGGCACAGATAACACGGATCGAGAGAGGATCATGTGAGGACACTGGGAGAGGACGGCCGTCTGCAAGCCATGGAGAGAGGCCTCAAGAAGCCAACCCTGCTGACGCCTTGATCTTGGACCTCCAGCCTCCAGAACTGTGAGGACATAAGTTTCTGTTGTTTAAGCCCCCAGTCTGTGGTTTATGGCAGCCCTGGCAAACCAGTGCATGGTCTTTTTGTGACTGGCTTATTTCACTTAGCATGACATTTCCAAGGTTCTTCCATGTCGTAGCGTGTGTCAGAATTTCATTTTTTATGGCTGAATAATGCTCCGTTGTATGGATAGACCACATTTAGTTTATCTCTTCCTTTGCCGGTGGACACTTGGGTTGTTTCTACCTTTTGACTGTTTGGAATAATGCTGCGATGAACTTGGGTGTGCCAGGATCTGAGCCCAGACAGCGCGTCTTTCACTCAAATGCGGTTAACCCTCCAGCAGTGCTGGGTTCACCCTCGCCTTCCCACCCGCATTGGGGTCCTGTGGCTTTGTCTGACCCTTCAGCCCGAGCCCTTTCTCTGTCCCCCACGCCACCCCACAGCCCTCCACCCGCTTCCCTGACATGTGAACTCCTCTCTTCCCTGATGGCGTTCACTTGGACTGAGGAGAAGAGTCACAGGTTTGTGAGTCAGACAGATCCGGGTTCAAATTCAGGCAACTCGGGTCCTGGTTGGTGATGCTGGACGAGGTACTTCGGCTCTCTGGGCCCCAGGCTCCTCGCTGTGAATGGTGGCGCGCCCCGCTCTGGTTACGTGTGAGCCCCTGGCCCAGAGAGCACGCTTCCCTCACTCTAACTCCTTTCCTCTCCCAAGACCAAGTGCCGCCTCCTCCGCTCACAGCGAGACCCTCTCCCCAGCTGTGAACCTGGATCGGAAGACGCCAGATTGCTGTGTCAGTCAGGGTTCTCCCAAGAAACAGAGCCATAGGATGTCCATGAATAGAGAGAGACTGTGGGGCCTGAACAGTCGGAAATCCACGGGGAAGCCGGCGGCTGGAAATGCCAGCAAGAGTGAAGGTTGCAGTCTGGAGTCTGAAGGAGAATTCTTTCCTCCTCAGGGACCTCAGTCTGTGCTCTTAAGGCCTTCGACTGATTGGATGAGGCCCACCCACATTATGGAGGGTGATCTGCTTTACTCAAATCTGCTGATTTAAATTCTAAGAATATCTAAAAATACCTTTACAGAAATATCCAGACTGATGTTTGACCAAACAGCTGAGCACCATAGCCCAGTCAAATTGACACATAAGGGGCCGGCCCAGTGGCATAGTGGTTAAGTGTGCATGTTCTGCTTTGGTGGCCTGGGGTTCACCAGTTCGGATCCCGGTTGCGGACATGGCACCACTTGGCACACCATGCTGTGGTAGGTCTCCCACATATAAAGTAGAGGAAGATGGGCATGGATGTTAGCTCAGGGCCAGTCTTCCTCAGCAAAAAGAAGAGGATTGGGAGCAGTTAGCTCAGGGCTAATCTTCCTCAAAAAAAAAATTGACACATAAAATTAATCATTATAATTGGTAACATGTCAATTCTAATCAGACTGATCTATAGATTCATTGTAATCCCAATTAAAATCTAAGAAGGTTTTTTTTTTTAAGATTTTATTTTTCCTTTTTCTCTCCAAAGCCCCCAGCACATAGTTGTATATTTTTAGTTATGGGTCCTTCTAGTTGTGGCATGTGGGATGCCACCTCAGCATGGCTTGACGAGCGGTGCCATGTCCGCGCCCAGGATCCGAACTGGCGAAACCCTGGGCCACCAAAGTGGAGTGCATGAACTTAACCACTTGGCATGGGGTCAGCCTCTAAGAAGGATTTAAAAAAAATAATTGCTAGGCTGATTCCAAAATTTGTATGGAAGTGCAAAAGGACTAAAGAGTCAAAACAACTTTGAAAAAGATCAAAGTTGGAGGATTCACATTACCCAATTTCACAACTTATTAGGAAGCCACAGGGATCAAGACAGTGGTATTAGTGAAAGGACAGACTCATAGATCAATGGAACAGAATAGTCTAGAATAGTCCAGAAATAGATTCACACATATATGGTCAATTGATTTTCAAAAAAAGGTACAAAGGCAATTCCATGGAGAAAGGATAGTTTTTTCACCAAATGGTTCTGGAACAACTGGATATCTGTATGCAAAAATCTAAACTTTGGGGGCCAGCCCAGTGGTGCATCGGTTAAGTTTGCATGTTCTGCTTCGGCGGCCTGGGGTTCACTGGTTCGGATCCTGGGTGCAGACCTATACACTGTTTGTCAAGCCATGCTGTGGTAGGTGTCCCACATGTAAAGTAGAGGAAGATGGACACGGATGTTAGCTCAGGGCCAGTCTTCCTCAGCAAAAAGAGGAGGATGGGCAGCAGATGTTAGCTCAGGGCTAATCTTCCTCAAAAAAAAAAAAAAATCTAAACTTTGGTCCATATCTTTGAACATATTAAAAAAATAGCACAAAGTGGATCATAGATCTAGAAGTAAAACCTAAAACAATTACGCTTCTAGAAGAAAACATAGGAAAAAAATCTTTGTGACCTTGGGTTAGACGAAGAGTTTTTAGGTATGACACCAAAAGCATAATTCATAAAAGAACAATTGATAAATTGAACTTGGTAAAGATTAAGAGTTCCTCTTTGAAAGACACTTAAGTGAATGAAAAGACAAACCACAGACTGAGAAAAAATATTTACTAATCATATATCCGATACAGGGCTTGCCTCCAGTATATATAAAGAACTCTCAAAATCCAATCAACCTGTGAAAAATGGGCAAAAGATTTGAACAGACACTTCATCAAGGACACACCAGAGAAGTGGATGACAAATATGCACATAGAAACATGCTCAATATCTTGAGTCACTAGGAAAATGCACATTAAGACTACAATGCGCTATCACTACACACCCGTAAGAATGTCTAGAATTTAAAAGACTGTACCAAGTGTTGGTGAGGAAGTGCGGGAGCTGCTGGTGGGAATGTAAAATGGCACAGTCACCTTAGAAAAAAGTTAAACAGACACCCACAGCTATACCCCTCCTAGGTATTTACCCAGGAGAAGTGGAGGCGTCCGTCCGTAAATTGAGTTGTATACGAATGTTCATAGCGGCTTTACTGTAACAGCCAAAGCTGGGAACAACCCAGATGTCCCTCAGTAAGGGAATGATAGCAAGCTGTGGTCTCTCTGTGCAGTGGAATCCTACTCGCTAAGAAGAAGTGAAGTGTTGATATGCACTACAACATGAATGAACCTCAAAATAATTAGGCTGAGTGAAAGAAGCCAGATAAAAAAGAGCACATACGGGCTGATTCCATTTATATCAAAATCTAGACAATGCAAACGCTGTGCAGTGACAGAAAGCAGATCAGCGGTTGCCTGGAAAGGGGTAGGAGGGAGGGACTCCAAACGGACATGAGGAGAATTTGGGCATGAGGAATCTGCTCATCATTTTGATTGTGGTTACATACATATGTCACAATGTATCAAATTGTACACTTTGATGTGCGTGGTTTGCTAATGTCTATTATACTCAATAAAACTGGTTTAAATGGAAAGCCCGAAGAAGATGCCTAACTGACTTAGTTCCTTTCCTCCAAGGCCAACTGCAACCCCCTTGGTGACACTCTCCCCCCCGCCAGACAAGCCAGTGTCTGCTCTCCCTCAGCTTCGTCGTACTGGCTCTCAGGGGCTGTCACGTGCCCTTAGGAAAATTGCATCAAATAGCGCATTGCAGAGGGGACAGGAGGTTCTGGAACCCCTGTGCCACTGGAAATGGATCTCTGTCCCTCCACCCTCTGACTTACATCACAGCATCACGTGTCCCTAGCTCCCCTTTTTCCCTGTCAGCATTCTTTCTCTTCCAGAAGCCCGGGAAGGTTAAGCTCCTAGCCATCGACCTCAAAGGTCAGATGTCAGTTTTCCTTAACTAACCATTAAGCCCTTACCCTCCTGACCTTCGGGCAGGGGCTAAAACGCTTGTCAGTGGCTCTCAAATAGGATCTCTCTCGCTTTGCCCTCCAGCTCCTTTATTCAGGAAGCTGAAGCATGTCAAAGTCATTGACCTGCCCGAGACTTTTGATCAAGTTAACGCAAAGAATGGGAAGACTCAGGTTCCTGACTCCTAGACCGAACCCTAGGGCCACCCCACTTTTCCTCCGCTACCCCCCGCCTGTGACCCATGTCACATGACCCCAGGGTGGCCAGGGGAGAGAATCCAGCCAGTGCCCTGCCTTCCGGGGCCTGGTGGCTGGCACCGCACGCAGCAGCACAGCGAGCCTCGGTGCAGCCTCAAGGGTTTGCACCGCTTCCCCATCACGTCCGCCCAGTTGCCCTAGTGACTGTGTGACCCTTCTCCCCCGCCCTGCTGCCACCGGCCCTATAAATAGAGGCAAGGAGCAGCTGGGCTCTCTTGGCAGTCACCATGAGGGCGCTGGTCCTGCTCTGCTGCTTTGTGGCGTCGCTCCTGCTCCCAGGACAAGCAGGTATGACCCCCACCCCTGCCGGCCAGCCGGACTGCAACTTCCATGCGCCCCCAAGGTTTTATGTTTACTGGGGGTGGGGGCGAGGCGGCTAGGGTGGTAGATGGAGGATGAGGCCTCTGTGATTCCTGGGTCCCATGGCAAACCTTTACTCCTGGCTGGTCTCACGGTCTCTCCATTCTCGTCTCCCTGGGGCCCAGGAGAGGGAACTGGGAACAGAGAGAAGCAGAGTGCAGCTAGGGGGCTCTCAGGGAGGCCAGAGGAAGTGGAAGCAGTGAACAGAGAGGTGCTGGCGGGCGTGAGGCCTGAGCAGGGGGCTGGAGGGGAGGTGTGGCCTTAGGTGCTGAGGAAGAGGACCCCAGAAGTCAAGACTGGAGGAGCCTCCTGGATGGACAAAAGAACTAGATCTTGGAGCTGGAGGGGCCCCTGGAGGTCGTTGAGTTGACCCTCCAACCTGGAGGAGATGGGGCAGGAGCCTGCCTGGCTTGGCATCATGGAGGACAGGGGGACACAGTGGGCAGGGTTGGGGCTCGTTTGGGGAACTGAATAGAGTGAGGGTCAGTTCGGGATGGCATTGGAGATGCATTTGGGGACTGGGCTGGAAACAGAATTGGACGCAGAGTTCAGAAGAGAAACGGGCCCATTCTGGAGTAGCATGTGGCGAGGCTGGGGGCTTCGTTAGAAGGGGGCTGGGACCTGCGTGCCATGGTTTTCCTTTGACATCTCAGCACTTCGTGTGGCAGAGGCGGTGGCTTGGGTTACAGCGTGGGGGTTATTTATAGGCATGGAGGGGATACCAGAGCATTTTGCCACCTCTCTGTTCCAGAGACTCCTGGGGCTGGGTTCCCCTTGGCAATGCTTGGGGGGTGCTCTGGGGACTCCCAGGAATCCAGGCCCCCCGCTTTGTCTTTTCATGACTTGGCAGTATTCATCTGCACAGGGGACCATGGGGGCCAGAGCCCCAGTCTGTTGGATCTTTGAGGTTCGGTATTTTGAGGTCCCAGCCCCAGCATGGAGAGCAGATGGTGGGCAGGAGCAGAAGCCGTTCCCTCAAGAGGGTGGGAGACCAAGGTGGGGGGCTCTGGCCTCCATGTGCTGCTGGGCCCTGCCCTTGTCTGCCCTTGAGTTAATTTGGGCTCTGCGGGGCTGCAGTGGCTGGAGTGGCAAGGATTCCAAGCGGCTGTCAGGTGGCTAAGTATGGAAACAGCCACGTAATTGGATCCTGAGCCCCAAGCCACTGCCACCCTCTCCCTTTGCAGCCCCTCCCCTGTTCTGCCCAGCCCCAGCTGCCACCTCCCTCACTTCCACACAGCATGCCCAGGAACTTTTAGCCTTTTAGGGACATCCTTTATCTTTCCTCCCAGCAAGGGAACCGGACCTCTGGAATGTTCCACAGGCCTCGCTGGGGGATCTTGCTGTGGGGAAAGGAGGCAGGCAGGCACCTTGTGCAAAGATCCTCTCTTTGCAAGCTCTTTCCTTCCTGGTCTCTGCGGTGCGCCCCTGGCCTGGCTTCCAGGGAGGGTTGTCCGCCAGTGTGCAGAGTTCCCTCCTTTTCTCACCCTGCTCACTGCCTGGGCTCTTATCCTGGGGTGGTTTATCAAGACTCCAGTTGTAGATTGTATACCCAGAAAGATGGCTTCTTCCTGCACCCACTGGCAGATTCAACCATAAAGCTGGCTTTCCCCTACCCCCATAAGGACACTCTTTCCTGCTGGTTGACTTTCCCCTAGAATTGTGCCACCTGGTAAACGCCACCTGGTCCAAAGGCAGCAGCTTTGCTCCTGAACTTCCTGCCCCACTGCTGGATCCTCATTTCCATCCCGGTTGCTTGCCCGTCGCTGTGTGGCAGGCAGGCAGGCAGGCAGGCAGGCATTCTCCTTAACCCCTGCCCCGTTCCTGCTTCCTGGAGGTGGAGGGGGCCCCTATAGAGCTGCTCTTCCTTCTTTTGTCTGCCCTCTGGACTGAGGTGATGGGCTCCACAGCCTCCCCTTTCGTCCCCTAGTGAGGGACCAAGTGATCCTCCTGATGCCAGGACACAGATGGAGCCGCCAGGCCCCAGTCACCAGACACCTCCACCCCCTGGCCCGCTGCCCCCAGTCCTTTGTAACCACCAGGGTCTTCCTGTTTGTCTTGGAGACCTGGCCTGTGACAGGCCTGCTCAGGGTCAGGGAAAGCAGCTTTGAGATGGTTTCCTCAGTCTCCTCATGGTCCAGGTGAGGGAGTGAAAGCCAGAAGAATGAAGAGACGTGTTCAAGGTCAGACAGTGAGTTAGTAACAGGCATGCCCAGCCCAGGGGGAGTCTCACCCCACCTGGGAGTTCCTGTGCATCCCTGGCCGCTGGCTGACAGGCCTCCCTGGACCCTGGAGCGCCCCGCTGCCTGTCTGGGCATGTGAGGCAGCGGTGGAGGGGCTACTGTGGGTAGCCGCTGCAGGAAGCAGGGCAAGAATGATGCTTTGATCCTTTGTGTCCTCGGAGAGTGGGGTGGGGTGGGAGGGCCAGAAGGCATTTCTTTGGGTTTAAGCCATTGGTGTTTGTTAGGCTGAATTTGGGACATCTTTGCTTCTTGTTTTCCGCTTGATGCAACCCTGGGGAAAGACAGGGTTCCGAGTCTGTTCATCTTTCCTCCTCCAGCCCTGCCCTGGTTTGTAGACTTGCAAGTCTGCTCTGGCCCCAACCCTGCTGACCCAATGGCGAGAGGTTGGCACGCCAGGGCTTACCCGCCCACCCTTCCCTGAGAGACGAGGGTGAATGGTGACCGCCCTTCGCAACCCCCTCCTCACCCACCCCAGGCTGGTTATTTCAGGAAAGAGGCCCGTGTTCATGATTCCTCAACAGGGCAGCTGGGGTTCCCCATGGGGAGGGCTGCTGAGAGAAGGTCGTGAGCTCAGGGATCTTGGGGAGAGAGCAGACCCCGGAAGCCTTTCCAGCCCCCTGCAAGCGCTGTCTCAGCTCATTCCTGACCCCTAGCTCAGCGCAGCTGGACGAGCCTGTGGGGAGCAGCTAGTCCACAATTCTCACGTTGAGTGTGAAGTGCAAGTGTGGGATTTGCTAATGGATGCATCCTCCCGGGTGTGGCCAGGGTCTGGGTGCTGTGCCTCCTGGTCTGGAACAAGGGTCGTGGCTTGGGGAGTGGGAAAGGGTGGGAAGCTGCTGCTGTGGGAAGCTGGGCTTGCCTCTCTCCTGGGCCCCTTCCCTACCCCAAATCCAAATCCAGACCTACTCACTGCACAACCTTACGTGTCCGTATCTCTTGAGTGTGCAAAGCCCTTTCGTTCAAACACCTTGCCACGTTTCCTCATTCATTAATTCATCATCCCAGATTTATTTTGTACCTGCTATCTTTTTTTTTTTTTGGAGGAAGATTAGCCCTGAGCTAACTACTGCCAGTCCTCCTCTTTTTGCTGAGGAAGCCTGGCTCTGAGCTAACATCCGTGCCCATCTTCCTCTAGTTTATACGTGGGACGCCTACCACAGCATGGCTGCCAAGCAGTGCCATGTCCGCACCCGGGATCCGAACCAGCGGACCCCGGGCCGCCGAGAAGCGGAACGTGCGAACTTAACCGCTGTGCCACGGGGCCGGCCCCTGTACCTGCTATCTTTTAAGTCTGGTACTGGGGGAATTCAGATGGGCATCTTGTCCCTGACGTACTTATAGTCCAGGAGGGGAGAGAGGGCATCTTTCACCTTGAGGCTGTACATGTGCAAATAAGATGCACATGTCCTGGGGAGGTACAGGTGAAGTGAGGTGGGATGGAGGGAAGTGGGAGATGATTTTTAACTGAGTGGATCAGGAAATCTTTTACAGATGAGGGAACATTTGACCTGGACCTTGAAGACAGTGGGATTCAGACTTGAAAAGATGGAAGGGAGAGAGTTCTGTGTAAAGGAACAGGATAAGTAGATTCATGGTGTCGGGGAAGATGGGAACATGAATCGTGAAAGGACCTGCTATTCTGCCTGTGATTAGGGTGGGCAGCGTGCAGTGGGGGTCGTAGGCATTCTGTCTGGAAGGCTCGGTTGGGGCTGAGGTGTGAAGGGCTGAGGATGAGGACTTTGCTGTCTAGGCAGAGGGTAACCACTGAGGGCTTTGGAAAAATCCCCCTGGCAGTTGTTTGTAGGGAGGAGTAGAATGAGGGAGACTGATTAGACAACCATGTCAGAAATGCTGGTAAGAGGGTGTGAACTCGGGCGACTGAGTGTGGATGGAGAGGGGGCAGACCCGGCAGAGAGCTGGGTAGAATCTACTGGACTACCAACGCGGCAAGCCAGGGCGGGGAAGAAGCCCTCGTGGGTTTACTGTAGGTCATCGGAGACATGATCTTGCCAGAAAAGGAAACCAGGAACGTAAAAGAACAGATTAAAAAGTTCGATTTGGGTCATCACGAATTCCAGGTATCGGTGGGACATCTGGGTGGAGATTTTAGTTAGAAAGGCAGGGTTGGCATTTAGGAGGAAAGTCAGGTCTAGGGATCCAGAAATGAGATTCCTTTGGGGAAAGATGAGGGTGAGGGTGTGAGATTGCAAGGGAGCTGTAGATTTGGGGAGTGGGAAGAAGAGGAGGATAAGTGGGTTTCAGCAAGATGGGAAGACATCCAGGAAGAGACAGTGACCTGGAAGCCCAGGGACGGGAGGCCTTCTAGATGGGGTGGTCAACAGGATTAAACACCGCAGAGAGGCTGAGGGGGATGAGGCGTGGGTCTGACACCCACGAGGTCACTGACAGATGGAGGCGCTTGCGCGTGTTTTGTGAGGAGGCGGACAGCGAGACTTTTAACATTGAATTTGGAGGGAGAAAGGACCTCAAGAGTAAGGGGGAGGGTACAGAGGCAGAGAATTTTCTTTCTAATGTTGGAGAAGACTAAGTGTTTATGGGCCGATGGAGAGGGTCCTGATGGAGAGGGACAGATTGACAAATGCAAGGGGAGAGGAGGTGAGCGAGACATCAGATGCTTGAGGAGGGTAGACAGGGTCTGAGGTGGGTCTTAGGGGACACATGCCATGG